GTATAACATTATAACATGATACAAAACTCAAAAAAGTTGATTTTACATGATATTGCCCCTTTAACAAAAAAAATCAAGATTATGATTAAAATTATTTTATTTCAGATTAATATCTTCAAAGGTAGGTTATGTGTCATTAATCTTAAAAAACTTGATAGTTATTAGCTACATGATAACCTATGGTAAACAATTAAAGAGGCCAACTACACATTATTTTTGTAGTAGTCTGTCTGCTGCAGACAGCTACATGTTTGGCTTGTACTGTACAGACAGTAGAAAGTAAATTTCTGTCTTTTTTATGGATAGATGCACTGAAAAAATATCTGCAGAGGCCTGTAGTTGATGCAGAAAGACCTTCACTCACATCTTCATCAACTGCTCAAGAATGTAATTTCTGCCAATTATCTGGGTTCACTTGGTCACTGTCATGATGCATGTAGTCATTATCTTATTATATTGCTATTGTTATTATTTAATGTTTAACTTTGCTAGCATTTACAGTAAATGTAAGTCATAGTCAAATAAAATTGTTTGGCTACTTTTTAAGAAACAGACTTAATTCAGTGTTTAATAGCGAGCTTGCACTGAATGTTTGAATACAGCTCAAGTCCTCCTTCATCCCAGGTATCAGTTCTTACTTTTACAACCAGAATGGTGGTAAGCACTATTTTTGATATAACATAATTTAAATATCTATAAATATTATCAAACCAACAAATAATACATTTTACTGTAATTTAGAAAATTTTGCCTAAAATGCACAATTGTGATGATCAGTGTTTTTTCTGCTCCTACCCTGATTGGTGTTCCTGAGACTCACCCTCTGCACCTGTGGCTGATTTCCTCTGATGGGTTCCACTAGTATTTAAGGCTCAGTCTTGGTTCAGATTTTCACTGGAGCATCACACATTTTTGGTTGCAATCTACAGCCACTAAGTTATAGTTGAAACTTTCTGAGTTACTTAGTTTTTGCCTTACCTTGTGTTTTTTCCTGCCTCTGGAATTTTGCTTCTGATTGCCATTGCCTGCCCTAGTGATGATAAACCCAGGCTTCCTCAATCACTGAACCAATATGAGTCAATTGTGCTGAAACGACTGTTTCGAATCAGTTGATTCATTTAAGTGTTGCTCCATCTGCTGGCCATGCTTTAACATTACTGCTGCATGAAGCAATGACGGACAAGCCGTTTCATGAACCAGTCAGCCTCTGTTCTGTATAATAAAGCTTCTACATGCATCTTGAACATTCTGTTTTCTTTAACAACAATAATAGAATATTACAGTAAAATGTGGCCGTGCTGTCACAAAATACTGTATGTGATGAAGACAGGTGCTGCTCTGTGAAGCAGCTCTGATCTTATATATAAAAACCTGGAGCTTATTGTTGATAATTAAGGCTTTGCTTAACTAAATATAACCTATAAATAAAAGTCTAGTAATTATCTGTGTTGTTTTTACTAATCATAGCATTTTGCTACAGTTGACGGGCCCTGTACCGGGCCAGCAGATGGTGTCATTCATAATTGTTTGCTAAAGTAGGCGTAAAACTTATTTTTCCCAATTTCTTTTCTAAGTCTGTCACAAAAGTTGTCTTTAATGTTTTTAAAATGAGTCGCCAAATTATTTTTGGATAAATATTTATGCTTTTAGAGCTTTATAAACATTTGTAAGTTACTTGAACCATCATGGACCGTTTCAGTGTCAGGAAGTTCTCCACATCTGTTGCTGTGCAAGTTTTGATTACATCACCCTCCCTTTGGTATCTTTGAAAAMACGAAGGTCTCACAAATTCAGGGATATATCTTGACACTGTGTTTAGTGATGTGAAGTTTGTGCGTAACCAAGAGTATAAATAACAGCCCTCATGCGTAAAACGTTGAGGTGGAATTGGGTTCCATTCAGTGATTCCATGGTGTGCACAATGGTAGATTTTGATGATGCACAGTGTAAATGTAAAAAGAAAAGGTTAGGTCATATGCAGAATGAGTCCTACAATAGAAATCAACACTTTTATTAAACCAGATTCTCTTTTATAGAATAAAAACCCATTTGGCACAGTTTTGGGTACATATGGCTAAATTGTGCCAAAATGCCATTTCCGCCTGGAAAAAAAAAGTCCTTTAAAAAATGTACCCCCCCCACACACACACACACACTTTTAAGATGGTGATTACACCCTTGGGCCAGCCCCTGGACAGAAGTCAGAGCAGACGGGAGAAGTGGCAGAAGAATGCACCAAAGGCCCCACACATAGCACGTCCCCGTTACAAATGCTGCATTAGGCCAGCAGGTCAGCCCCTCAACTGAAGGGAAGCCACGCCCGTGACCACCACCGCACACCGCCAACAGGCAAGCACACACCCCCGCCATTGAGAGTGCCCACCCCCAAGTCCCTATATGTGTCATAAAAATGTTATGATTGTCTGGGGTGTACAATAAAATGGGATCCAGGTGGCCATGGGCACATGAAGATGTAAAATCCTTGCTCTTCAGTAATGTACCTGCACCCCAAATCCCTACATGAGTGGACTTGTGATGGAGTGGGTGGAGGGATGTAACAAGGAAGGGGGAGAAAAAGGATAGGAGGAGCAAAATGCCATCCCAGGGAGCCAGCTACCCCGCTGACCTCAGTAGGCACCCCCATTCCCCGAGGCCCACTAAGGGAAGGAGGCCCCAATACCCCAGCCCCAGGACAGATGGCAGCAGCACCACTAGGCCCCAAGGAAACCAAGGTCATGGATGGGCAGAGCCTGGAGGACCGACAGGTACCGGGTCTAGTTTCTGGASTTAATATGTTTTAAACAATGATTAGAATGCAGTGCTGATTAGTATCTAAGATTTCTGCTATGTGTTAGCTAAATTTTATGCTAACCTGACCACTGGTTGACAGTGTAAGGTTCTATGGTAAACTTAGATTTATTTGATTTTGCATGGGGGCTTACAGTTCTGGGCTCGTGCCACACCTGGGTCGCAGTCTTGGTGGGGCCTGGGAGGCTTGGACCCTGGCGGGCGGTTGCCGGGCTCTGGGCCGGTTTGTGCCTTGGTGCCCTGCTCTGGACTTGGGCCTTCGGTGCACTGGTGGCGGCTGGGTGCTGGGCCGGTGACACATGGAGGGGGTGGGTCAAGCCAGCCTGGGTGTCTAGTGTGCTATATGTTCTGAGAGTTGTACGAATGTTGGGGTGGGTGTAGTATTTCTTCTGGGGGGGGCGGGTGGATTGCCTTTGGTGGTGGCCGGGGGCTGTGCTGGGGCGGCTGGTTGGTCCCTTAGTGGTGGTGGGGCTCGCTCTCGGTGCCTCCTTGCGCTGCCGGCGGCTGGGTGGGAACTCTCAGACAAACCTTCCTTGCTGGGATTCGGTGGCCTCTTTTGGTCGCAGGCTGGCTGTGGGACTGGGGGTCWGGTCTTGGGGGTCTGGATGGCTCTGGGGTGGATGGATTGGTGGTCCCCTTCTCTGGTGGTCCCAAAGGCTCTGTTTTGTGCGTGGCCTTGGGATCTCCGGGCCTGGCGGTCGGTCTGGAGGAGGTGGCATTGGGACCTCACTCCCTGGATGGGTTTCGGGGAGCAGGGGGTCCTTCTGGGGTCAGTGGGGAAGCTGACTCACTGCGGGAGCAGTTTGCTCCCTCAGTTGTTTTTCTCCCCATCCCTCACCACATACCCTCATCCCCTTCACTTTCTACTGCACTCACGTAGGGTTTTTGGGGTGCAGGTGTGTGGCAAAGAGCAACAGTTTTACATCCAAGTTTGCCATAACCACCTGAGCCCCAATTTTACTATGCACTTTAGACATTAAATTACAACATCCTCAAAACATTCACATATAGGAACATATATATATACAGTGTATATATATATA